TAGGTTTTACTCACAAAAAAAACATAGATCAAGTTAAATCACCACACAAATAACCCAAAATCTTTCACCTAAGTTTGGTTTAGGGTTTTAATTTTAACTACTAGAGATCCTCGTTTCTTTGGTTCCAATAGTTCTATCTTATGTTAAAATGTTGAAAACAAACCATTCTACAAAAATTAGAAGAGTTTTTTTTTTTTTTTTTAAAGATTCTATAGAGAAAAAAGAACAGAACTCTGAAGGGTAAAAGAGAATGGAGATTGTTTTGATTTGTGGTAAGGGGTGGTGGAAGAGAGAATGAAAAAAATATTTCATTCTCTTTTACCCTCCATAGCTCTATTTTAAGGACAAGTGAGTATTAACCACTTGATTTTGCACTTGTGTTATTCTTTTGTATATGTTAATTATCAATAATATCCATAGAATATTTGTTGCATCAAAATGTTATAGCAACCATTATTATTAGTGAGAACCATATAATTTGATAGTAAGTTAGTAACATTTTTAAATTGTCCATTAGTTGTATATGTCATTAAGATGGGACATCAATGATGTAAAGACTATTATAGTGATACTTTGCTAGGTGGCAAGACTTCTTCTCACAAAGTCATATATCACATGTGGGTGACTCAAAGCAAGTAAGTGGACTATACTAACCTACCGTGAGAACTTTACATGTTTGTCTCATTTGCAGCTTCTCAGTTTTGACGAGAGTGTAAGTGATCCTTTGACTCAAGATTATCATTATTCTATGCAAGGATTCATGTACTTTGATGCTATTAAAAATAACCACTTCAAAGGGTTGAGTAATACTATTATTAGGTGCATTACAAATTCCATTAAATAATGGGTGAGTCAAGATAGGATTTGTCCCTTTTGATTTCTTGAGAGAAGATATCTTTGGCCCTTTGATTAAGATAAAACTGCTTGCAAAGTCTATAACAATGGCAAGAATGAAAGCTCATTCAAGAAGAATGTCTATCTTGAGAATTAAAGAAAGATATATCAAGTTTTAAGGATGCTAGTTCGTAGCATGCATCTTACATGATAGACATATCAATGAAAAAGGGGCTGAATAACACAAGTCCATCGGTCATAAGAAGGTTTGTCAAAGCCATCAACAATTTCTATAACTTTAGGTGGCCATGATGTGTTGCTAGATATTATTCTTGATTTGTGAGTGTTTCTCATTATTATCATGATGGAAATCTAAAAGGTCACAAACTTAGCATCTTTTAGGGATTGAGATTTCTATAAATCCAAGTTTATGGATATTAATTAATTTATATGAAAATAGTATTTTCATAAAATAAATAAATTAATTTAGATTTGGATTAAATTGGTAGCAGGAGAATTAATTTAATTTAATTTAATTAATTTAAGTTTGGATTTGTTTGAAGTTTTTAAGGATAAAAATATCCAAAAGTGGCAATTAAGTTCTTAGAGGACTTGTTGACAGATTACTTAAAACATTAGAATAAAATTTAAAAAAATTAAGTGTAAAAGATAAAGAAAATTGGAGTTGTTACTCGTTCAAATTATAAAATGTGGCAAGTCACCTAAAATTGGTTTGTGTAAAAATTGAGGTTTGAGGGTTCAGTTAGGAGTAAAGAAAGATATATATGAACCTCATAATCTTCCATTTAAAACATGGTTGCATATTTTAAAATTAGGGTTTAATTCAACTTATTTATCCTTTTTGGTCTTTGATTAAGTAAACTTGAAAGTAATGGACAAAATTGCAATTTTGAAAAATTTGGACTCATTGAACAAAGTAAGAAACAAGCATCCACAATCACAACACATTAAAAGTAGTTGACTTTTAAAGCTCTGACAATGATTAAGTAAATTAAAGAAAATTAAAATCACTTAATCAAAATAATTAATTGAATTGAATCATTAATCATGAACTAATTAAATTAATCAAAATAATTAATCATTTTCATTAGTCTTTAATCAAAATAATTAGATAAATCTAACTATCCTATTAAGACTAATCAACATAATCAATTAATTTTAATTAAGATTAGTTAAATTAATTAAAAACCTTTAGATCAACTATTGAAATTTTATTATATTTTTATATTTTATATATGCATTTTTTTGCTCTTTTTACATTTTTTTAACCTTTTTTTTTTTATTGAGGCAGTCGACATCACTATTTTAGTCTTAGTGGATTGGGTGTAACACTTTTTTTTTTTAATATAATTATTAGTCCATAATCCTAACCAAATCGGATTGGGTCAACTCAACCCAACCCAACCCACAAACACAACCTATCTAACAAAATGGGTAAAGATGGATCAAACATAGACAAAAATTAGGAAAATTTAGGGTTTTTGAAACACTCATCCAATCAAAAAAATGAAGTCACAAATAGATAATATTTCATTGATTTCATTGAATTTTGCTGATTTCAAGATATAGAAATATACTATGGGAAAGACAATGAAGTTTTATTCATAATAAGCATCAACATTTACATAAAAATATCAAACTAGAAAAGAAAATGGCAAAATCAAAGGAAGATAGGTTTGCATTTGAACAGAGATGCCCCACCCACGGGGCAATTCTCCATTCATCTCCCTCACTATTTTAGAAAGTACTTAGCAAAGAGCGGCAAAAACGTCATTGGGAATTCACTATTTTGCTTCTCAAGTTTTACTCTTCAAAATCCCAAATTTGAAAGTTGTCTTTGTCCTCCTTTAAAAAAAAAAAAAAATTTTGCTGTTGGTTCCTGCCGAAAACCCCCAAAATAGAACCCAAAAGAAAGAGCTCTTTGGAGATGGTGTTGTGCCCGAGGAAGAAGAGAAGCCAAGCCCTTGAAAAGAGATCCCAAGTCTCCCCTTCTTCTCTACTTTTTTTGCCTCCAAACATAGACCAAATCCCCAAAAAATAACCTCTTTTTTTTTAGGGTGTGTTGTTACGATTATGTGAAAAAGAGGTTGAGCAGCTGAGAGAAAAGGGGTCTTTGCATTTTTTTTTTTTTT